TAGTTAGTTAGTAGTTGTGTGTGTGTGTGTGTGTGTGTGTGTGTGTGTGTGTGTGTGTGTGTGTGTGTGTGTGTGTGTGTGTGTAAACATCGTGTCTGATTGTATTTACACGTGAGGTTCTCTGGAGAATGAAAGAAATGGAGACGGACAAATGCGTGGGCTTTGATCGAGGACAATAAAGTTGATAAGAACTCCTTTGTAATATATTTCGAAGAAATTTCGTTTTCCTTTCATAAAAAATAATCCATGAGATAATCATCTCTCAAGTTATCTTCCGACAACTAAATTAACTTCATTAATTTTCCTTTGTTCTTTACATTCCTGTTGTCAACGAATGTTAATAAAAAAAATATGTCATTCTTACTGAACTGAACTATTAACTTATTGAACTTATTGAACTATTTATTTACGAGTTTTGTTTTATTAAATGAACAATACAGTTTTGCGTACTTCTAATATATTTTTACAAGTCTATATCACACTGAAGGAAAATTTAAAAAAATTTTATATAAAATTGCAAGAAATATTATACTTTTTGAAATTTAAGAATATTTAAGGATTTTTTTATAACGTGATAATATTTTTTTAAAAAACATACAAACAATTGAAATGCGATACTACGTCCGAATATAATAGTTAATATTATACGCCATTATAAGACCTTACATTTAAATCTTACTTATTTTCTCCGGTGTCAAGTCAATTATTTCGCTTGTTTCGCACGACGATAACGTAATTTCGATAATCTGCGACGGGCATCAAAGCGGCGCACGCGGCGCAATCATTACGCGTTGGCGTCTCCGCGCGAAGACAATGACTACGAGAGGGTCTCTTAGCGCATCGCATTATGCACGCCTCGTCGACGAACTCATTAAAGCTGCCGACCGCGCCACGTAACTGGAATCCGGAATAACCCTTCGAAAACTCGACGGGATGCATGACGAACCTCCTCTTTCTCGCTCAACAAGATTGCTTTGGATTTGTAGTCAGCTATACTATCTAAAATTCATAATTGTTGAAATGTCTCATCGCAATATTTTGAATAACAATATTAATAGAATACTAAGATAATTTGTTTATAATAAATAATATCAATCAACATTTTACAGACGCATATTATTATACTAATTCATTTTTTTCTGTTGAGCTATGTATACATAGTTAACGTGACGTGTGTACGTGTGTGTGCGCGCGCGCGCGCGTGTGTGTGTGTGCTACATTTTCTAAAATTAAAAAAAAAGATGCTCAAGGGTTAGCAACAATATGTTAGAAAAAGCGGATATTTATAAAGTTATTGACAGCTATGGATATTGTACAGGAACTGAAAAAAGCTGCGTGGTATCTCTGAGTTAGCAACGCTTTTTAAGAAGCTCAGAAAGAATTTTTTTTATCAATATAATGATCGCGTCCATTCTGCACGTTTAAAATGTAATTTTAATAAGAGTTCTTTTATTTTTATCTCACTATATTCTTCGATAGCTCTTTCACCGATTTTACCGCCTTTAATTAATACTCTGGTGTCTCAAATTGTGGTCGGAGAATATAAATATCGAAAGCGATATTGCACCCCGAGATTGGATATCCCGTTTGCCCACATATTCGCCGCAATGAAATAACAAATAGTAACTATATATGTACATATATTATGTACGTTAAGATGTATTTTATTACAGTATCGCATATCTATGTTACACGCGAATTGAATGCAATGGATTACCGATTACCGCATTTAATCCGCTTTTGAACCAATTTAGTCTTATCGGGCATTTTTATTTTCGGACATGTGCTTCTGAATTCCTGTTTTAGCTGACCTATAAATACGCAGATAAGAATACCGAATAACATCGAGATTTGATATTTTTTACCTTCCTTAAGGATATATAAAGACTTTAATATCTCGTGCATAATTTACGCTCTGTCAGTGAATGTGGGTCCAATAAAATCAAACGTTGAGAAATTCTATGTTCCATTCAATATAAGTATAATAGATGTCCCATAAATTCCCTATTTATATCTTTATATCTTCCTTTATATCTTCTCCTTTATACTATTCTAATACATATCTTTCCGTGTTGCTTTGCCGAAGCCACTGAAGTGAATAACTGAGAGCAATAGCGAATGATTCAACGGGCCACGAGGCAAAGGTGTCAGCAAGGAGTGTTCGAGTGAATGCATATCCAATTACAGGACTGTGCTCGGTCAGGCGATCTTTGAAGCCGAACTTCCGAACCGATCGACTTACCTAATTTCGCCTTCGTGCTTTAATGAGTTGGTTTCACTCTTCCGACCGAAGGAACGATCGCTTTATTCCTAATTGGTCTTGATGGTGAAATCCTATCTAGTAGATAATAGATGGTATTTCATCGAGTTAGGAGTAATAATAGCGGCAAAAAAATTCCACCGTGCGAAGAGCCGCAAACATTTAAAACGTTTATAAACGCGTCTCGAGATGCGTCCGATTATAAATATCGAGATGAATTCATTCGAGTGCATTGGCCTAAATACTGAGTCGCATTATTGATGCGTGGCGGACCGAGCATCGAGCTGCATCACTGACGGAACGCCGCCGCTTAAATATCGAGCGAAAAAATTACGTAAAACTGGCCGGAATGTTAATGAGAGATAATAATAGGAGATCGCAAAATGCGTTCGTTCGCACGATGCTAATAATGTCAGTTCCGCATAACGTTCCTCGCCGAATTCGCGTAAAAAGTAAA